TCGGGGGCCAGTAAGCCTTGTAGCTCGGACCTTGGTTATCTCTGGTGGTGACAGGAGATTCCTCCCACAAAGGAGCTGCCTCTAGTTTCCTTGTAATAAAACCCAAGGCCTTCAGATCTTGGGTTTGAAGCAAAGGCTTGGGGAACTGGTACTGAGCTCAGTTTGTTATCTCAAGAGTCAAAGGGCCCGGCTTGGTGGTGCAGGCTGCAGTCGCAGTCCTTGGGAGGTAGAAACAGGAGAATCAGGAGAAAGTTCCCCCTGGTGTGTAGTGAGTTTTAGGCTAGTCTGGGCTACATGAGACCTTGTCTCAAAACCAAACCAAAAGATTGGCTAAGTCGGGAGGGAGCTTGTCTAGGCAGGAGCCTGAACCTTTGTTCATTCCACAGCCTAAGGCTCCCACACTGAGATAAGAAGGTCCTGGTGCAGGAAGGGGGTCAAGACTGGGAATAGTGAGGCAGTGGGGCTCTCAGAGGCCACACGGTGGAAAAGGCTGAACCCAGACCTGGCAACTGGAAGCTTTTTATTTTGAGTTTTTTGTTTATTTGTTTTCGAGACAGGGTTTTTCTGTGTAACCCTGGCTGCCCTGAATTCACTCTGTAGATCAGACTGGCCTTAAATTCAGAGGTCCACCTGCTTCTGCCTCCTGGATGCTGGGATTAAGGGTATTCGCTACCACCTGGCTTCAAAATAGAGGCTTTGTGCTCAGTTTTTTCTTTTTTATTTACTTTTTTTTTTCAAGACATAGTATCTCTGTGTAGCTTTGGAGCCTGTCCTGGAACCCCTCTGTAGACCAGGCTGGCCTTGAACTCACAGAGATCCACCTGCCTCTTCCTCCTCAGTGCTGGGATTAAAGGTGTGTGCCACCACTGCCCAGCTTTTATTTATTATTTTTTAATAACATTTTAAAGTGATTTATTTATTCTTATTTTATGTGCATTGGTGTTTTACCTGCATATATGTCTGGGTGAAGCTGTCAGATCCCCTGAAACTGGAGTCAGACAGTTGTGAGCTGCCACGTGGGTGCTGGGAATTGAACCCAGGTCCTCTGGAAGAGTCGCCAGTGCTCTTAACTGCTGAGCCATCTCGCCAGCCCCTATTTATTAATTTTTAGATTTATTTTTGTTTTATGTGTATGAGTGTCTTGCCTTTATGTATGTTTGTGCCTCATGTGTGCGTAGTGCCCGGGAAAACCAGAAGAGGGAGTCAGATCCTCTGGCACTGGAATTAGAGATGATTGTTTGCAGCCATGTAGGTGCTGGGACTCAAACCTGGGTCCTCTGGAAGAGCAGTTTTGTAACCAATAAGTCTCTTAGCCAATAAACCATCTCTCCAGCCTTGTGTTCAGTTTCCAGAGGTAGAGCAACATTTTCCAGATAGGAAAATTGAAGCCTTATGTCACACAGAGCTGGGGGTCCATCCTTGTTTGACCAGAGCCCCATTCTTCCCTGGCTGGAGAATCTAGAGTGCTGAAGAGGAAGAGCACTGGGTGTCCCCCACCCTGGGGGGCTAGCACGGAGTGTGAGCTCAGCCATATCTTAGTACACTCGGAAGCACTCAACCTGCAGCCAGGACCACATCTTGGGTAGTGGATGGAGTGGGCAGATTGTCCTTTATCACGTATGTATGCTCCGTATTGTTTCACTGAACGGGACCCCTTGCCCAAATGCGCCAGACACCCCCAGCCTCAGAGAGCACCCAGGTGTGGAGAGAGGTGGAGACAAGAAAGCTGGCTGGTGCTAAGATGGGGAAATAACATGCTTCACACAGAACCTACATATAGCGCTTCCTCCCGCAACCCCCCATTCCCCTCAGTGGAGTGATTAGCACCTGAGCACATCCTAGCCTCAGCCAGTATTGTCTGAGCTTTTGACGGAGTGTGAACCAGAGAGTGGTAGGTGAAGGGAGGTTGGGTGGGCTCTGGGATACCCGACTATCTTTCCTGCAGCGTTAGCACTTGCCTGGACATTGAGTGGCCAAAGAGAGAGGCATGCCTTCCAAGTGAAGGTGGCTGGGGCAAGCTGCTCTTCCAGAGGGCAGAATAGAGCCTAACTACAATGCAGAAGAACCTGTCTTGCTGGGCGTGATAATAACAGGCCCTTAAACACAGCACTCAGAGGCAGAGGCAGGTGGATATCTGTGTGTTCGAGGCCAGCCTGGTTTTTATGAGTTCCAGGTCAGCTAAGGCTATATATCAAGACCTTGTCACAAAACAAAAAAGGGACCACCTAAGAGAGAATGTGCTGTGTACAAATTAAAGCCTCCAAGTTTGTGCACAGTGTTGTTATCTAGAGCTGGCTTCTTTGTCCTTACAGCTGGAATGAGTGTTAGGGCTTAGCATCCATTGCGAAGGGCAAGCACTCCTTGGATCCCTTTCAGTTCTGTATCTCTTGGTATTCTCAGGAGCACCGGGGCTCCACTAACTCCCTCTCCCCTATGGGAGTGGACTGGACAACCCAGGCCCCCTCCTCTTGCTCTCTCCGGAGCTGGACCCCTTTGAAGTGCCTGCAGGTCTATTTTGAGAGCTGAATATCTCCCGCCTCCCTTCCTCTCTTCCTGTTTATTAAACCCTGATCCCTCCCGGATCCCTTGTGCTCCCCTGGCCCTGGAGCTTAGGCAGGATGTGACTCTGGGCTTCAGGGAGCCTCAGGCAGACTCAGGTACTGAGAGAAACTTCTCTCGGATGACCGGAACTGACCAGACTACCTGCTTAGCGCCCTGGACGCCTGCCTGGGCCTCTCTTCATTCAACCTGCACTGGGGGAGCCTGTGGTCCAGTGGAGAGAGGTTTAGTTTACAATGTCTCTTTTCTCCATGGCCCGTTTGGCTTCTAGAGAACCTTCTTAGCAGAGGGTTGACAATACTGAGAAATAGACTTTTTGCCTGGGAGCACTGGCTTTTGGGAATCATTGCTCCCTTCTCAAGCACCTTGCTCACAATGCCCTTTTCTTGGCATGGACTCTTTTTCTTTTCCTTAAGTCCCTTTCTCTCCTGCCCATACCTGTTTATCCTCAAGAGCCAAGGTACTGTCTCATCCAGAAAGTCTTGAGGACCTCAGCCTGACAGTCTCTCCACCTCTGGGGCAGCTACAGCAGCTTAGCCAAAGCCCTGTGACAGGACAGTTGGGTTTCGTTACCAAGTATTCCTTTTTGGAGCTGCCTGAGAATGAGACCCAAGCCAGCCTTCCCTGTGCCTCCTAGTGTCTGTCTCCCACCTGGCTGAAGCAGGGGCCAGGAGCTGTCAGTCATGGCCAAAGGAGAGGCACTGGTGTTTAGTGCTTGCAGGAAGCCTGGCTGGGGGCGTCGGAGTGTGAGGGGGGCCTAGGGATCAGTGATGAAGTGGGGTAAAGCTCTGGCTGGCTCAGGAACAGGCTTTTAGTTTAGTTCTTAGCCCTATGCCATCCACATGAGCTTGGGCTTGTCATTCTTTGAGTCCTGTTTCCTTATCACTGAAAATCAGAAAAGGATCCGTCCTTGGGAGCTGTGCCAAGCCCAGGCCTGGTGAACCTACTTCAGCAAAGACTGAAGGAAACAGTGACCACGTGCTTTAAATGGCCCTGTGACGGAAGGCTCAAGTCTCAGGCTTCTTCCCTGGCCTGACCTGGTGCCTGGGACCAGCCCCTCCCTAGGATGCCTAGGTGTAGGCAGCCTGCCCAGAGGCATGCTGGGAGTCATACCTGGAAGGACCTGCAGATTTTGCCCAGCTGGGGAAGGGAGTGTTGGTGGCCACTGGGGCCAGCAACTGACAGGTGGGCTTGACCGTAGCAGGCAGGACACCCAGAGTAGAGCTCCTAGAAGACAGAGGTCAGGTGGCATGGCTCTGGGCTTTTCTTCCTGCTACTCTGTGGAGGAAGTAAATACAGGGACAGAATCTGGGGGAACAGGGCCAGGACTCAGGGGTGTAAGCTGATGTGTGTCCTCCCTCCTACCCATCAGGGGCTTTGAGTCCTCACACGGTTCAGCGAAGGCAGTTCTGAGACCGTTTCCTTCCTTCTGCCCCTTCTGGTGCGCTGTTTGCCACGGCACTAATTTCCCTGTTTGTGGGGACTGGTGGGTTGAGGGAAGCCTGGCATAGGTGTTTGTGGCCAATCTTTGGGCACGCTGCCCTGCCTGAAGTAGCAGCAGGAACTTTGGTCTGGGGTGGCATCTGTCACAACCCCACTGGCCACCTACCACAGACTTATCAGAGCCCTGTGAGGACAGGGAAGGGGAAGTACAGTGTGCGTGAGGGGGCATGTGTTTCTACACTGGGCTGTCTAGAAAGGGTTTCCGATCAGCAGCATGAGTGAGTATACGTGTTAGTTCCTGTGGGTGTGCTAATGTCAGAGGAGGTAAAGCCCTATAGGAAGGGATAGGCCTGGTCCATGCCTGCCCTCAGGAGCCCATCCCTCTTCTTGGGTCTTCTGACTTCTTGTCCATCCCAAGGCTTAGGATTAGTGTGTCTGAACAGAAACAGGACGAGGCAGGGTGCGGCCTGCTCTGTCGGGAAAGAAGTGTCTCAACTCCAGGCTGTGCCAGCCAGACTGGCCTTGCTGACTTCTGTCCCATCTGTTGTTGGGGAGCCCCCAGGTTGTATATTTTCAAGTGCTGAATGCATATTGTGTGGGCATCTCCTCGCCTTCTGGCTTCCGTTTGCATTCCTGTCTCCCCTCACTGGGGGTCAGGAGACAGAAAGGGTTGTGGCTTCGGATTCTCCCTGGGTCATAGCTTAGGGTCTGCAGTGTCCCCTCCTTAGCAGGGGAACCTAACCCATTTTGAGTTCCTCCTTCCTGCTGAGAGGGAAGTGAGACGGTGGGGAGCCAGGGACCCTGCCTTCTGGGCTAGGAAGGCTAAAAAAAGCAGAAGTTGTCGGAGTAACCGGCCCCTCTGGCTACCCGCTTGAGTCCCACCATGCAAACCCCAGCAGATTTCCCCAGGATTGAGAGAGACTCCGACTTCTGTCCCAGAACGGTGAGGAGATGGGTGACTTGTCTCCACAGGTGTCTGTCATCATGCCTCTGAGCACAGAATAGGTTTGGGGAAAGCGCTCTGTCCCCTGGAGTTTCCGGGTAGCTGCGTCTGTCCCCAGTGGGTCTTCTCAGGCAGAGTTAAGCAGCTGACCTCGGGGTGTGGTGAGCAGGAATTGTGTGGCCTTGGCCAGACCACAGTCATACCTTCTGCCTGTTCCCCCAGATGACTCTGGGGGACTGGTCAGCCTGCGGTGTTCTTGGGGTTTGATGGCACTGTTGAAACCCTTAGAGTCTCTGAGAGTGACAGCTTGGAATGGGAAGTCCCAGACTGGCTTTAGGACCGAGAGACAACAGGCTTGGGTGGGCAGGAAGTGGGCTCTGACTGATTTACCTGCCCACCCTTTCCTGGCACTTGAGGCTGCTGACTGCAGTCAGACAGGACCCAGAGGAGGGACTCGGCTCAGGGCAACTCTGTCATGGGTTTGTCTTGAACTTGAACCACAGTTTCCTGTTCCCTCAGAGGGGTTAGAGGTTTTAGGGATATTTGGATCAGAGTTCACTCAAGATAGTTCTCTTGACTTCTCTCAATCCTGGGGCCACCTGGAAAGTCCCTGAGAAAGTTCTGGAAGACTTCACAGAGATGGGATTGAGCACACTCTCAGTGCTGGGGCCGGCAGCTTTTGTTCCTCTTGTCTCTTCCCTAAGCACTGGAGAAAGCACCTACAGCGTTGTCCCCTTGTTTTCTTCTGGGGAATCCCTGCCCTGCTACCTGTCTGGGTCTCCCCTGGAGACCTGTCAGTCTGTGGAGGTCTTAACTTTGCCTGGCTCTCTCTCTGCTGCAGCTCTGTCTCTCTTGTTGGGCTCCAGGCCGTCTCTGATAAGTGCCTGTCTTCATGAATGGTGTACGCGATAAATGTTGAGTGGCTCCCTTTGCCTCTGCATGTTTGGGTCCCTTCTGTCTCTCATAGGCTCTTGCTCTCTCCTGGGGAGTGGATATGTGTTCTTGCCTTTGCCTCTTGGTATAGGTCTCCCACCCATCTCTGTGTTGAACATGTGTGCCTGTCTGTCTCTGTCTGTTTGGTAATTGTCCCAATCTATCTCTTGCCACTTGGGGATATGGCCTTATCTTATACCTCCCTGTCTGTTTACTGAATGTGTGTATGCTATGTACGTATACACATTGTAAGTATGTCTTCCGGCCCCTGCCTGATGGGTGTCTGTCCTTGTCTGTTGCCTTTCTCTGCCTACTGAGGACCTTGTCAGATCCCTACTGTTTCTAGGACCTATCTGCTCAGCCCCTGGGCTGGTTTGGGGCTTTCTCTTTGTAGGGGAGATGAAGGAGAGGGCCAGAGGGCAGACCTCAGGCACCGGGGAGGGGGGCAGAGAGAAGAAGGGAACAGAGTGAGGGTGGAAGTCTGGAACTGGGAAACCACAGGCCCTGTGTGATTGGCTGTCTTGGGCCTGGCCCAGCCCCCGCGCCCTCACCCTGCACATCCGCCTTGGGCCCAGCCACCTCCTCAGCAGCCCCAGTGGGTTGTTGCCTACCCTTGCCATGGTGCCGTGGCCCTGCTGGGCGGATGGAGCAGGACCCCAAGCTGCCCCGCCTGCGGCTCAGGGCCCTGCTCCCCTGGCTGCTCAGGAAGCAACGGTCCAGGATCGGCCAGACTCTGCCTGGCCCTGGCCCTGGCTCTGGTCCCCAGCAGGACTCGGTAAGTGTACCCGGATATCTGGTCCTGGCTTGGCAGTAGCCCCTGGAACAGGTGTTTGGGCAGCCAGTGTGGCCCAAATTAGCTTTTGACTCTCCTGGCTGTGCTAGATGCCCGGACCTTGCCCAGACTTGCTTCCTGGGGAAGTAAGGAGGCATCTCAGTGCTTCACGGCAAGACTGGCAGATTGGAAGGCCAGAGAGGTCCCCGCACAGCAGTGGCCCGACAAGGGCTCCTAGATGCTTATCAAGGGAAGTTTGATAGGGTCTCTGGCCTTAACCCTCAGTTACTCCAGATGGGCATTGAGTGGGTTTACAGGGATGTCTGAGTGACTCTTGGGTCTCTGTGTACCTCAGCCTTATCCATACACCAGAGAGTTTGCCTCATCTCATTCTGACTAGCAAGAAAGGCCCGGCTCTACCTCCCATTATGAGCTCAAACCTTACTTCCTATTGTGGCAAAACCCAAACAGCTGGGGGGAGGGGAGCCTTAAGGGCGGGCCTGAGTTGGTCCCTACACCAGACCCAAGCCTTGGTTCAACTCATCCTGGTCATGTCTGTACCTTCCTTTGGGTCTGAGCAGGCCCGAGCATCCATGCCACAGGGACAAGGCCTCACTTGAGTTGGCCCTCTGGTAGTTGGCCTTCTTGGCCATTGAGACACTGTTGGTACCCATGAGCCTGAAGGCTACGGGGGTAGTGGTCTGTTGGACCTGTTTTGATCTGGTGGGATGGCTTGGATAAGCTGTATGCCATGTTGCCCTGGAAGGGCCCCAGGCCTACCACCTCTGTCCTTCTGTCAGGATGAGGGTGTCCTCAAGGAGATCTCCATCACACACCACGTCAAGGCTGGCTCCGAGAAGGCTGATCCATCCCAGTTTGAGCTCCTTAAGGTTCTGGGCCAGGGATCCTTTGGCAAAGTAAGTCAGAGGGCACCTTATTGGGAGGGCACCATAGGTTGTCTGAAGTGGAGTGTTGGGGGGACCTTGCTGTCCACCAAAGGATCAGAGGTCACCTTGATAACCCAGGGAGAGCAGAAGGTCAACTTGGGGTCCAAGGGAACTTATAGGTCAATGTGGGGGGCTTTAAGATGGTTGGGTTAGCTGCCTCTCACCCCCTCCCTGATTTTTCCTGCCCTCTGTGTTCTCAGGTCTTCCTGGTGCGCAAGGTCACCCGGCCTGACAGTGGGCACTTGTATGCCATGAAAGTGTTAAAGAAGGCAACGTTGAAAGGTGAGGAAGAGTTCCTCTCTGGGCAGAACTGAAGCTGGGCTCAGGATCAGAGGAAGCTCGGGATGCAGGACTGAAGAGCTGGTGAGGGAGGTGCCTCTGATTTCAGGAGCCTCTAGTATGGCGGCAGAAAGCAAACCAACCCTCAGCCAGCTCCTCCTTTTCCCTCCTGCAAACCAAGTGAAGGCAGGTGCCTAGAAGGAAGTAGTGGGCTGCAGAGGCTTCGGGTGGGAGACTCTCAACCATCATGTTGTTGGGCAAAAGTGTTGTATCGGCAGAGTCGCTTCATGGTGCTTGGAAGCCTAAGGGAGATCTCTCTGGCCCCTGAGGGAGAGAAGAGGAGGGGAGCCTGAAGGTATAGAAGCTGGGGACCCATAAGAGAAGATGAGTTGAGGACAAGGCCACAGAGTTGGGAGTCAGAGAGGTTCAGAAGGGAGCCTCAAGTCAAAGTCGAGAATTCTGGGGACTTAGACAGGACACGAGGATGGTTACTTGGCTGTGGGTCAGTTGTTGACTGTGATTGGTCTGGGAGCCAATGTGGCCAGAAATCAGGGGGAGACCAAACTAAGCCTTGGCTGGGAGAGTAACATGGAGAAAGCGAGGGGTCAGCCTTAAGGACAGATCTGTCCTTGGCCTACCAAGGGCTTTCTGCTAGACGCTAATGGGTTTAGTGTAGTCTGACCATAGGATTGTCCCTCAGGAGAAATCGTGGGAGTCACAGGGAAAGATGTGGTCCCTACTCATGGGCTGGGTCGGGACTGGGAGAGTCTTCACATGGCCTGGCAGTGAGGTATAGTGATGCTGGGCTTTTGTACATGGATGCCCAGGCTAAGGAGTTGAAGGATGGGCATAGAGATCAGGTCAGGCAAGAGTTCTAGGGACACTCTCGGGAGTAAGCGTAGGCCCTGTGCCTTGAAGGATGTTGGGAATTTACCAGAACAAGATGGTAAAGTTTGGACCCCCAGGAAGGAGGAGCCATGAGGTGACTGGGAACGTGAGGTATGTTTGGAAGTGACTGGACTGGTTACCTGCAGCATGGCCCCTACCACAGCTAGGGAGAGAGATAGAAGGGTTAAAATAGAATAAACAGTGATGTGGTGGGAAGCCCAGGGCACCCGCCCACAGGGATGCTTCCTAGAGGTGGTAGGGTTTGAGCCCAGTCCACCGAAAACCTGTTGATGGCCAGGATTGGCAGCTTCTGTCCTTTGTCCCTGCCAGACATTCACGAGACCTGTAACTGAAGCATGTGGGAGGTAGAGGCAGGAGGATCAAAAGTTCAAGGCTAGTGTTGGCTCCCTAGTGACTTTGAAGCAAGCCTGGGCTTCATGGGAGCTTGTCTCAAATAATCCTCCCCAGCAATAAAATAAAGAAGAAAAAAACATTAGTAAACAAAGTTTGTTAAAAATGTCTACTTAGACCCACCCAAGAATTGCATTTTTAGGATGGCCTTAGGAATTCCCGTGGAAATGGGAAGGGGTTAATAAAAGATGTGCTGGAGGAGGAACGCGGCCAAAGTCTGGGGACCTCAGGAAATAGGGCACCCTGGGGCACAACTGGGCAAGACACCGAGACTCTGCCTGGACTCTGTGAGGAGTGAGAGCAAGAGCAGGCCTAGAAGCCAGAACAGTGTGGGGAGGAAGGGGGAAACTGAGTGCCCCGAGGGTGAAGAACCTCGGGAGTGTAGACTGGAAGGCTAAGTAGGAAATGGCCTATGGGGTTGGGCTTGGGGAGGCTGTGTTGGGGTGTAGACTTTTAGTGACCTCTCCTCCTCTGGCCAGTGCGTGACCGTGTTCGGACCAAGATGGAAAGAGACATCCTGGCTGATGTGAACCACCCGTTCGTGGTGAAGCTGCACTATGGTGAGATCGCAGACCCTGCCCAAGTGCCACCCCTCTCCTCTGTCCACCTTTGCCTGTGACCTGCTTCATTCCTTGTCCCACCTCCCATGGGCCAAGCCCAGGAGCCAGGGACAGAGGCATAGGTCACAGGCCCAACTGACTCCGCCTTGGCTTCTGTCCTCCTCAGCCTTCCAGACAGAAGGCAAACTCTATCTCATTCTGGACTTCCTGCGTGGCGGTGACCTGTTCACACGACTGTCAAAGGAGGTAAGCCAACATCCCACTGCCAGGGATGCAGTGCAGAGTCCAGTCCCCAGGGTCCTGGGAAGCACATTCTCAGTGTGGTCTAGGCCTGTAACTTCCTGGCTGCAATAAATGTCACACCGGCCCTGAAAGAGAGGGCCCCTGACAAAGCCTCTGCGAGTTTCTCTGAGGATAGGCTGAGGATGAGCAGGCCTCTGGTTGCTAAGGGAATCTCCCAACGCTTGAGGTAGAGTGCCACGGTCTGTGCTGGTCTAGGGAAAGAAGCCCAAACCCGCCCAGGAAACTAGACTTAAGGTTCTTGCTGGACAGTGAGGTGCACACTTTTAATCCCAGCACCTGGGAGGCAGAGGCAAGTGGATCTCTGAATTCAAGGCCACAGAGTGAGTTTCAGGACAGCCATAGAAACACAGAGAAACCTTGTCTCAAAAACAAATAAAAAACCAATAAAAGGCGTAAGTTTCTTATACTGTTGCTCATATAAAAGAATATAATATAAAGGATTCAGTATAAAAAGATGTGAACTTCATTTTTAAAAAATTGGGACCATTAATACATTTCTTCTTTTGGAGGGAAAGAACCAAGCTTGGCCAGGCATGCCTGGCCCAGGCCTGCCATCCCAGCTACTTGGGAGGCTGAGGTAGGTGGATTACAAGATTAAGGCCTCCCTGAGCAACTAAGAGTAAACAGGGCTCAGGATATAACTTGGTGGTAGAGAGTTTGTCTAGTATGTGCAGGGGCCTAATTCACTCACTAGAAATAAAAAATAATAATCCATACTTTCTTAAAAATAAAATAGCTGGAGCTGGGCAGTGGTGGCGTACCCCTTTAATCCCAACACTCTGGAGACAGAGGCAGGCAGATCTCTATGAGTTTGAGGCCAGCCTGATCTACAGAGTGAGTTCCAGGACAGCCAGGGCTACACAGAGAACCCTGTCATGAAAAACAAAACAAAAGACAAAACAGAAGAAAACAACAAAAAAATAACAGCGTTTGTACTGGGATATGTGCACACAGATGTGTGTGTATACTGGGACATATGCAAACAGATGTGTGTGTATATTGGGACATATGCACACAGATGTGTGTGTATATTGGGACATATGCACACAGATGTGTATGTACTGGGACATATACACACAGATGTGTGTATACTGGGACATATGCACACAGTTATGTATGTATTGGGACATATGTGCACAGATATGTGTGTCCTGGGACATGTGCACACAGGTGTGTGTGTATACTGGGACATATGCACACAGATGTGTGTTTATATTAGGACATATACACACAGATGTGTATGTATTGGGACATATGCACACAGATGTGTGGACATGCATGTATGTGGAGGTCAGAGGACAGCTTGTGAGAGAGAATTGGTTCTCCTTCCATCATGGGGGTTCCAGGAGGATGGAACTCCCACTGCATTGTCTCACTTACTCAGAACCAAACTTTCTGTATTTGAAAAGTTAACGCTTAATTAGGCCATCCGTTTTCATGGTTCAAAAGTAAACATTAACAGTACAGTTTCGTTACTACAGCTCCCTCTAGCCCCCTGTTGTTTTCCAGGTAGGGGTTCTCTGTATAGCTCTGATTGTCCTAGAACTCGCCCTGTAGACCAGGCTGACCTCGAACTCACAGAGATTCGCCTGCCTCTGCCTCCCAAGTGCTGGTATTAAAGGCGTGTGCCACCACTGTTCAACTCTGATTTAACCATCTCAGGTTCCTTTTGTAAATACATTTTGTACATGTTCTGAGTCCCTACCCCCACTCTCTTACCTGAGAAGGATTAGTTTCTGTACACTGTGCCAGGCTTGGCCTCTCAAGTCAGTATATCTCGGGTTGTTCTGTATCGGGATGCGGAAAAACTCCCTGTTCTACGTTACGGCTGCATAGCTCTTTATTCTGCCTGGGAGAGGCAGTTAATTCCAGTCTTTTACTCCTGGGTACTTGGATTATTTTACTCTTTGCTGTTTCCAAACTTTAGCACAGTGAGTGACTTGTGTATTGGAGAAAGGTATGTGGTATTGCACTATGTCCCCAGGGTAGACCCTCAGCACCCAAAGGCTATGGTTGCTCCGTAGCCCTGCTCTTAGGGAACAGGATGTCCTGACTGAAGCATGTCTCTCTCCCTGCGACAGGTTATGTTTACAGAGGAGGATGTCAAGTTTTACCTGGCTGAACTGGCGCTGGGCCTGGACCACCTGCACAGCTTGGGCATCATTTACAGAGACCTCAAGCCTGAGAAGTGAGTGAAACCCTTGACCTCTCTACAGGGTACAGAGCAGGGCCACTCAAATGGAGATGGCGTGGCTCTCCTCAGGATCTTACCTTTTTGGGGTTATCAGGGAGTGGTTGGATGGAGTAGTGGCAGCAGCAAATTGACCTTAGGTAATTAGGGACCAAAGGCCACCAGGCAGCTGTGTCATGTGTTCCACCCTGTCTAATGCAATGTGACGTCAGAGATGCTGCCGTTAAAGATCGCGTCCTGACACGTTTCTCCTGTGGTTTTCCACAGTATCCAAATGCACTGCCTTCCGGTGCTACCTTAAGAGGTAGGACAGTCTGGTGGTCAAGGTAGACACACCTCAAGTCAGGCATTATGGTGCACGGCCGTAGTCATAGCTGCTAAAGAGACTAAGTCCAAGAGTTTGAAGCCAGCCTGTACAATATAGTAGATGCTGTGCTTAAAAGAAAGACAGGTTCCACAGACATTTATATCTGTGGAGGAGAGTTACTTTGCTGAGATGTAGTTTTCCCTTTAGTAAAATGGTGCCCTAATGTCACTGCTGAGCCTTGATTCTACCATGCTCCCATTGGGTAGATCTGGACCAAGCCCTCTGGGCAGGCCCAAGTTCCTCTAGCCCATGGTACCACCCAAACCCACATAGTGTCTGCTGCTAAGGCTCCTGACCCGTCTCTCTGTTACAGCATCCTTTTGGATGAAGAGGGCCACATCAAACTCACTGGTGAGTGAAGTGCCCTGCTCCTGTGGACTCCGGGGAAGGGTGGGAGGGATCCTGGTAGGTCTTAGCTGAGGTCTGGGAGCCCCCTCTGCTACCTGAGAGACGGTGCCAGTTATATACACGAGTCCAAAGCCCAGGGCCTGGTTATGTTATTTATTTTTGTTTTGTGTGTATGGGGATTTTGCCTGTGTGTGTCTGTGTCCCTCATGTGTGCATTGCCCACAGAAGCCAGAATCCCCTAGAACTGGTTGTTAGCCATCATATGGGAGCTGGGAATCAAACCTGGGCTCTCTGAAAGAACAGCTGGTGCTCTTAGTTGCTGGGCCACTTTTCAAAGCCCCCAGGTCCCAGTTTAGAATCACAGCTCCCACCACAACCTTCAAATGCCCATGGGTTTCAGCTTTCTCTTGGTATCATGGAGGTGATCCCCTGTTCTGGCCAGGGGAGCTCAGCGTGGTAGCAGTGAGGATGGCAGGGGTCCTAAAGATGACCACTCTGCCTTCCATGCTTCAGACTTTGGCCTGAGCAAGGAGGCCATTGACCACGAGAAGAAGGCCTATTCATTCTGCGGGACAGTGGAGTACATGGCCCCCGAGGTTGTCAACCGCCAGGGCCACACCCACAGCGCAGATTGGTGGTCCTATGGGGTGTTAATGGTGAGTGTCCCAGCAAGAGTAAATGATGCTCAGGCTCAGGACTCAGTTTCCCTGTGTATACAGCGAAGAAGGATCGTCCGGCCCTCCCTCGTCTCCCAGCCAAGCGTGCCTCGCCCTGCTCACCCGCACCGTCTTTCCCTGGGAGATGCATGGGCTTCAGTCCACCCAGAGTGCCCTGCACCTGGCATGGGGTTTCTCCTCAGTTTCCAGCTTCAGTGCTGCTCCTGGAAGCCAGGTTGGGATGGGGGCAGAAGCAGGCATGGTCCTCGCTCCAGGTCGACTCTGAAGTCCAACAGGCCAGCAAAAATCCTGGGACTGGAGTAGCCTGGGAAGGAGGATGAGGATGTGGGAGACAGAGATCAAAATTGCACCCTTTTTGTCCTGCAGTTTGAGATGCTGACAGGCTCCCTGCCCTTCCAGGGGAAGGACCGGAAAGAGACCATGACCTTGATTTTGAAGTAAGCACCAGTGCTGCCCTGGCTGGGCCAGAGGGTCACCTTTTTCCACAGACCCTTGTCTACGGGCTAGAGGGAGGTGTCTCCTGCCTCCACAGACCCTTGTCACCTACTGGGGCTAGTGGGAGGTACCCCTAAAGTCTTTGGGAGGTGAGTTAGTGGCTGGCTTGTCTGGACTGAGCTGGAAAAAAGACCTGGACAAAGGGAAGGGACTCTGGGGCTTCTGGGGTGGGACTTGTCTCTCACAAGACCTGCGGCTGTTCCAGGGCGAAGCTAGGCATGCCCCAGTTTCTGAGCACGGAAGCCCAGAGCCTCTTGCGAGCCCTTTTTAAGAGGAATCCTGCCAATCGGCTTGGTAAGCAACCCCAGCTCAGGGGAGGGGGCATGGCAGTGGGGAACAGGGTACAGCTGCAGCCTAGGCCACAGGGCCACATCAGGGACTGAAAGGAACCGTTGTCCTTTGTGTGAGCAGACAATGCTGCTGGCTCCATGTGTGGTGTTGGGAGGGTGACCTGTGTGTAGGGGGAAGGCAGGAACTGAGTCATCCCTACCCACTCAGGGACAAGGACAGAGGTCCCCACACAACAACTCTGCCACAGTTGCTGCCTCAGGAGAAGGCACACGAGCTCAGGAGTGAGAAAGGTCCCAGGACTAGTTGTGACTGTCCCCCTGCCTGGCACCTAGCAGGCACTGTAAATATTTGTTGAGTGTTGGGTACCGTTTATGAGCTCTGTGATTGGGCAGGTGACTTTACCACTCTGAGCCCCAAGTCCCTTGTGTTGGTGGAGACAGTGATCCCAGCCTGGCTCCCAGGGTTCTTTGAGTCAGAGAAGGACGCGCCTGTCGCTTACAGAGTCTACAGTGTTTGTTGACTTTTTAATTGCGCCGTCCAAGTCCCTGTGTTGAACTGAACACAGTTTGTCTCAGGGATGAAGAAGGCAGTAGGAGAAGGAGGACAGAGATGGAACCTTGCTAGAGCTCAGAAGTCCAGCTTCTGTCCTGTCACTTGGACAGGTCACCTGTGATTCCTGGTCCTTCCTTCCATCAGTCCACGGGGGCTTGGTCGTCAGAAGCCCCGTAATGTAGAGGATGCTAAGTGGGCTGTGGGCTTCAGGGTGATGGGTGCAGATACAAGGCAGGGTGAGCCCAACGTGTCCACTGCTGTAGCAGCTGGTCCAGAGTTGGGGGACAGGCTCGGTGTCTGAGGGTGGACCTTCATTTGGCTTCTTTCAGGCTCGGGTCCTGACGGGGCAGAGGAAATTAAGAGGCATGTCTTCTACTCCTCCATTGACTGGAATGTGAGTGAGTTTGTTCACACCATGGCTCTCTGGGGGACACAGGAAGGGTGGGAAACAGGGTCTCTGCCAACTAGGACCTCAGATGTGGGAGATAGAAGGTGAGCAGCCCTTGAAATGCCCTTGGAGGGCAATGCCATGCCCTGTGGGACAAGACTGGTCTCCCAAGGCCTCGGACTCACTGTTACTACTGGGTGGCGTAGCCTCCACTCTTCCTGCCGGAGTCACCATGGTGACTAGAACACACATCCCACCTTGCAGAAGCTCTACCGTCGTGAGATCAAGCCGCCTTTCAAGCCAGCTGTGGCCCAGCCCGATGACACCTTCTACTTTGACACTGAGTTTACGTCCCGCACACCCAGGGGTATGTCCCTGATCTGGTTAGTCTGTCTAGGGCTGGGCCCAATGAAGCAGATCTTTGGGGGAATCCTGGGATACAGAGAGGACTCTGGGAGCTCAGGTGTGTGGGTAGATAGGCAGTCTCTGGCTCCGTGGGATTTGTACTCGGTCCTGGTCTCATACTGCCTGGTTGCCTCTCTGCAGCTCTATGGGCCTCTTTGTTTCTAGGAGAGAGAATGAGATGTGGGGGTGGTTTAGGTCACAACAGGAAAGTCGGGACCCCTGCCCCAGGCATCTTCAGCCTGCTGGGAAGACTAACCAGGTCAGGCCTCCACTCGCATCGTGAGGAACCTGGCAAACCCGTGACAGGGATAGAGTCTGGCAGGGCAGAGGTGGCAGTACCCACAGATTGGGCGAATGTAAGAATGGATGTCGGCTTCTGATGCTGGGGCACCTTGGCTCATCTGGAACCTTCAGACAGTCACAGACCTGCCTTGTTCCTCGGTGGCTACCAAAAGCCAGTGAGGGGGCTTCTGGGAGGGAGCGCGGGAAAGCTGACACTCTGACCAGATACTGCCAGTGGATGGGGACTTGCGTGTTAGTTCTGCAATGCCTTCCTCGAGGGTGATTTGTTTTCAGTGTAGCTTGCACACTGCCGAGGACGGGAAGCCCTTCTGAGCTGTGTATCTTCTCTTTATCCACCAAGTCCATGCCAGGTCCCTGCTGTGTGTCAGCCTTAGGAGAGAATGGGCAGACCTGGAACCACATAGCTCAGGCTGTCAGTGGGAAGAAGATTCTAGATGGTCAGAGAAGCAGCCTCAGGCAGTGTTCTCAGGAGGGCGTTTGAACTAAGCCTTGATGATAGACAAGGAGTAGACTATCTAATCCAGAGGAACGGCGTGTGTGGCTGCCCGAGGCTCTTTGGAGAATGTGGAGCTCCACTGGGGCTGAGCTGCCAAAGGGAAGAGAGAGGGGTCACGTGGATCTCACTTGCCAGCTTGGGGTGGTGGAGAGCATCTCGCTGGCAGGTGCAGAGGCCTGGTGGCCAGCAGACTTTGTGATTGTAACTGTCCCTCTAACTGTGCTGAGGATAGACTTAAAGAAAGAGGTGAACCTGAGATGGGGAGGCTATGGGGGAGACATGGTGCACCCGGCCTGAGCTGGGGACCCTATGTGGGGGTCTCACGTTCCTCGTGTGGCAGGGTGAGCATGGTCTAAGTACACGTTTATGTGTTTATATTGTATGAATTCGCTGTTTGAAGTTTTGAGACAGGGGTTTCTGTAGCTCAGGCTAGCTTGGAATTCTGTGTGTCACCTGGACTGACCTCAAACTAGCAGCAATTCCCCTGCCTCGAGCTCTGAGGGCTGGGACTGCAGCGTGTGCCACCATGCCAGGTTTGTTTATTTATTCCCTTAGTGTGTGAATGGAAAAAAACGGCCATGACTGCCTCTAAAGCATGGAGGGAGAAAACGGGGGTTGGGGGGTGGAGTACAGGCTGAGCATGGCAGCAGACTAAACCAAACACTGAGAGGAGAGGGGGGGGAGGGAGAGCAAGAGGGGAGCCTGACCAAGAGGGGTCGCCCCCCCCCCTCGGCTCACAGACCTAGAGACTGGGGTGGCCAAAATGGTTGAGTTATCTCAGGATCAGGCTGGGGGAAGGGAAGCAGAAGCCAAGCCCATGGGGGGGAGGGGCTTAGGGTAGGGGGCGTGGTAAGGAGTACTGGGAGGAGCCACAGGCACTGAAACTTGCTTGTCCCAGGTTTCTTTGAGACCTAACAGTCCATGTTTTTGTATTTCTTCTGTGGTGCTGGGAATCAGACCCAGGACATCGAATGTTCTGGGCAAGTACTATACCACTGAGCTCCATATGTGAACCGATAGGCAAAGTCCTAGCATGGACGGCCTTAAACATGCTCCCGGCATGGCTGCCTGCGATCCCTGTAGCCTCCCTTTGCTGGACTGCCTTGCATCAAGGGTACCCTTCACCCCCATGTCCCCTCCTCTCAACAGACTCTCCAGGCATTCCTCCCAGTGCTGGTGCCCACCAATTGTTCCGTGGCTTCAGCTTCGTGGCCACTGGCCTGATGGAGGATGACGGCAAGCCCCGGGCCACTCAGGCTCCCCTGCACTCGGTTGTACAGGTGAGGGAGGTGGGGCTGCCACTCGGTTGCCCATTTCCACGCAGAGAGCACAGCAGGAAAGCCAAGAACACAGGCTCCGGAGCTGAACAGGTCACACTTCTCTGGGACCCAGACAGCCTCTAAGCTCCTGAACACTCGCTGTCCTCAGGTGTAAGCCTATTAGTGAAACACAGTCGGTGACACCTGTCTCCTGATTGTTGGCCAGAAACAGAGAAACTTCTTAGCAGGAATGCCAGATACTACTGCCCTGAGGGTGGAATGAGGGAGTGGCTCCCTGCTAGGAGTAGGTGGCAGAGAGAGAGAGAGAGAGAGAGAGAGAGAGAGAGAGAGAGAGAGAGAGAGAGAGAGAGAGAGTGAGTGTCTTAAGGCTTTCTGGAGCTGATGTTTGAAGTTAAGATCACCATGTAATTTCTTTTCTGTTTCTTGGAGACACCACTGTCCAGCTGGGTAGGTTCTTGACTGAGATCACAACAGATAACATTTAGGCCTCGTGACTCTCCTTTCTCCGTGCGGTCTTTACTGAGGCAAGGCCTGATCTTAGGGATGACCCCTGGACCGGGACACCTGGGGTCAAGCTGACTCTTGTCTTCTGCAGCAACTCCATGGCAAGAACTTAGTTTTCAGTGATGGCTACGTGGTGAAAGAGACCATCGGCGTGGGCTCCTATTCCGTGTGTAAGCGATGTGTTCACAAGGCCACCAACATGGAGTACGCTGTCAAGGTCGGCTTCCCAACCATATCTCTAAGGCTGCTGGGTTGGGGGTGAGGCCAGTGTACCCGTGGCACTTTGATGGGAGGGTCTGTGGATTGTGACGGGCAGTTGACTAATTCTCCCGGCCCTGTGGTACGCTGTAGTACGGGCTTCATGGCTCCTGACAGTGCCGTGTGCTCCTACTGTCTTCAGGTTATTGACAAGAGCAAACGAGATCCCTCAGAGGAGATTGAGATTCTACTGCGGTATGGACAGCACCCCAACATCATCACCCTGAAAGATGTGAGTGGGGAGGGGTCCTCGTTGGTGACATCAGGGCCCCCTTCCAATGCTCATGAGAAGAGGCAGGGATCCCTGAGTACCCTCTGCCCAGCAGGATGATGGCCCGGAAGGGTGGAGGCCCAGCAGGGTCACTGCAGTGTCCCTGTCAGGAGACCTGGCGGCCGAGGGTCCCAGCCTGATGGCGAGGTCTCTGGCAGGTGTATGATGATGGCAAACACGTGTACCTGGTGACGGAGCTGATGAGGGGCGGGGAACTCCTGGATAAGATCCTGCGACAGAAGTTCTTCTCCGAGCGGGAGGCCAGCTTCGTCCTGCATACCATCAGCAAGACCGTGGAGTATTTGCATTCCCAGGGGGTAAGTCTCGATGAGGGGGTGTCCGAGGTCATAATGAGGGCAGAGGGCGAGAACTGGCTGCCTCAGGAGTGGCAGTCTCCAAATTGCCAGTCAGAGGGGACCAGGGATGGGTAGGTGGAAGGAAGAGACGAGGCCAGGCTCAGGAGCATTTGGCCGTGTGCTGTGTGCCATGCTAAGGTTTAAGGGAAAGCTTCCTTTGTTATTTCAGTTGGATTTCCAAAAGGTCCTGAATTAGATGTTGTTACTGGCCCTCAGCAGGTCAAAAGTCTGAGTGTAAGATTGCTTCCCTGAGATCACATCATGGGGTGGGGTGGGGAGACTGGAAGTTGAGATGCGGAGTAGATTTTGTTTGAAAGGTGCAAGGGTCCCTGTGGGGAGCTTTGCGGCTTCAAAGAGGGAGAGGGTAGCCCAGGTGCTAAGGAAGGGGGAGTGGGTGGGACAAAGAGCAGGGTGTGGCCTTCTTTGTTGATTGATGCTGGCCTGGGTGAAAAGCCCCAAGTGGGAGGATACAGTTCCTCATAGTTGAGTCACTTTTCAGTTCTCTCTAGGTCATGGGATGCTTTGGGTTCTTCTGATCAGACAGTGAGAGGGTTAGGAGTGACGTCAGCCCGGGGTCATGTGCCTTTAATCCCAGCACTGAAGAGGCAGAGGCAGATCAATCTCTCTGACTTTGAGACCAGCCTGGTTTACCTATCCAAGTGTGGGTGACTGGGGGAGGGGACACAACAGTAAATCAGACATGGCAGCCCACCTTTAATCCTAGCACGTAAGAGGTCAAGCCAAGGGAAAAGGATCATCACAAATTGGCAAAGAGCCTAGGGTGTGTGCCACCACCCCCTCACATGTATACATGTATGTATATGTAAGATCACATTTGTATGGGCGTGTATGTGGGCAGGTGTACATACACACGTGTGCCTGAGTGTGGAGGTCAGAGGTCACATTGCACTGTATGTGTTGAGGCAGAGTCTCTCACTGATCCAGGAGCGTGCTGACTTCAGGGTCCCTGTCTCCACTTCCTAAGCGGACGTGCTATTACAAGCAGCCTGCCAGATCTGCCATGTGTTGACATGGACTCCGGTTCCCATGTTTACGTGGTGTCCTCTTTTGTTTTCTGTTGCTGTAGTAAAACATAATGACCAAAAGCAACTTGGGGAGGAAAAGATTTATTTGGGTTAGACTTCCAGCATTGAGGGAAGTCAAGGCAGAAATCTGGAGGCAGGAACTGAGGCAGAAACCACCGAGAAACCCTGCCTACTGATTTGTGGCTTGCTTAGCTTACCTTTATTATTATTATAATAAATTTATATATATTTAATGTGGATATTTTGCCTACCAGCACGTGTGCGCCACATGCATTCCCCCAGTGCCTAAAGAGGCTAGAAGAGGGCACTGGATCCCATGCAACTAGATTTATAGACAGTTTTTAGTTCCTTGTGGGTGCTGGGAATCAGACCTGGGTCCTCTGGAAGAGCAGCAGCTCTCTTAACTGCTGAGCCATCTCTCCAGCCCCAGTTCACTTGGTTTATATAACCCGGGACTGTAGGCCGAGACTGCTCTTTTGTTTCTCGGCTTCCCAAACCCGAAATAATTACACAGACAGTATATTAATTACAACACTGCTTAGCCAATGATTCAGGAATATTCCTAGCTAACTCTTACATCTTCAGTTAACCCATTTCTATTAATCTATGTATTGGCATGTGGTTGTGGCTTACTAGTAAGGACCTGGTGTCTGTCTCCTTCAGCAGCTACATGGCATCTCCCTGACTCTGCTTACTTTCTCTTTGTATCTCTTTCAGCCTGGCTGTATTCTGCCCTGCTATAGGCCAAAGCAGCTTCCTTATTAATGAGTGGTAATAAAACATTCATAGCATACAGAAGGGAATCCCACATTATCTCCCCTTTTCTATCTAAATTAAAAGGAAGGTTTTAACTTTAACATAGTAAAATTACATATAAAAAACAGTTGTCAAACAAGAATTATAGTTACAGTATAGTATCCATTTATATTTGGCAAATTAAGGAAAAATATTCTATCATCTCTCCTATCTTTGTGAATCTAAAATTTTATATCTAATTTATTTTTATCATAACTAAGGAAAACTATAACTGTATTCAAATCCATCAAAGACTCCTGAAGGATATATTATCTAAGTAAATAGGAAGTGTATTGTAAGGAACTTCCAAAACTTTAGAATTGACAAGAGATATTTCACTGCCTGGACAGTCACCCAAAGTTCTTCTGTAATATTGGGCATCCATCTTCAGCCTGCAGGCCCATAGTATCTGGCTGAATTTTCCATGAAGCAGGAAATTTGAAGATCTGTTTTGCCTTGTAATGGCAAAGTTCATCAGATACTTTCTTCTGTGTCCTACAAAATGTCTGGCAGTTCTTTCATGAAGCAGGAACCATGATGGATTGTCTTACCTTTAGGCAAGTTTAGCAGTCATTTCTGTGGGTCCTGCATGTTCAGTTCAGACAACATACAGTCTGGGCAAGAGCAATTTCTTGCCCAAATGGCTAACAAACTCCATAAGGAGTCTCTTCCATACCCATCTTCCTCTTGAAGTAGATTGGCGCTACCAGGAGCAGATGAGTCTCATTGTCATGAAAAGTCCTAAGATCTTAAAATATTTTAAATGCCATATTCTGTTAGTCTTTGAAAAATTTGAATATCTATCCATCTGAAATATCTCTGTACATCTAGAAAACCTAATTAACATATAATGAAATTGACCTTAAATTTCTATCAAAAAAAAAACCAAGATCCATACAAATATAAAGTATTCATCTCTATAGCACATCCCCTTTAAATGTAAACAAACATTATAAACAGTCATTTAGGGAATGTGGGCATTGTTCTCTAGACTACTTCCTGCTGATTGGCAGCACTGTTAATCATGTCTTTTATGGGGTATCCTGTGTGGTAGGTCCATCTCAGCCAGCAGTCTTGAAGTTGTCATGGATATTGGACCATCTGGGCCACTGATTCAGGGGGTCTTGTTTGATCAAAGCATATTAGCCAGTAAGGAATCCACAGCTTTCTGTCCTCTGTGGAAACAAAAGTGGAACCTCTTTTCCAAAGCAACATATCCTTAGATCTAAATTTTGAAGTCAAGATACCTTTTAAAATACATATGTTGGTTTAGCTTAGCAGACTCCAGAATCAAACATCTCTCTGCAGTTAAAAATTTCAAAGGAAACACGATAATATACATAATCCAGACTCTCTGTATGTATTCCATCTTGACATGGCTGTTTTCTTACCCTTTAATCTAAGCCTGTCTGTGCTCTTTTATATGACTCTTGCTGTCTCTTTAAAGACTACTTTTCTTTTCCTCTCTCCTTCAAGCCTACATAAATTTTTAAACACACGGTGTCTCACTCAGAGGTTTATATCTGTCTGAATCTATCCTATTGTATACTGTAATCATTTTCTGACAAGGAACATTTTTAAAACGGTAAGCAGCTTGGTTGCAGCAGCCCTGAATGCTGGCTCTACCTCTCTTGGCCTTCCAATATGGTGGAGGTATGTTTACCACCAGCTCTGGGACTGCTGGGTCAGAACTGTGCTCACATCTCTCAACTCTGGGAAGCACCATGCAGCACATAAACCCTTTTTGTCTGACTAAAAGCTAAATGTGCCATGCAGCATGCTGCACTGCCTGGAAATATCTGTGTATGGCGACGGGAGTCCACCATGCTCTCCTGCCTGTGCATACCTAGCAGACCTGATCCGGCCAGGTGCCAGGGCAGAGAGTACTAAGCTGCTGGCTTGCTTTCAGCTACTTTCCTCCTAACCCTGAATGGGTATACGAGGACCCGGACCTAATTACAACACTGCTTGGCCAGTGATTCCGGCATATTCCTAGCTAACTCTTATATCTTAAGTTAACCTATTTCTTTTTTTAAAAAAAACATTTATTTATTTATTTATTTATTTATTTATTATGTATACAATATTCCGTCTGTGTGAATGTCTGCAGGCCAGAAGAGGGCACCAGACGTCATTACAGATGGTTGTGAGCCACCATGTGGTTGCCAGGAATTGAACTCAGGACCTTTGGAAGAGCAGGCAATGCTCTTAACCACTGAGCCATCTCTCCAGCCCCAAGTTAACCTATTTCTATTAATCTATGTATTGACATGTAGTTGTGGCTTACTGGTAAGGATCCAGCGTCTGTCTCCTTTGGCAGCTACTTGGCATCTCCCTGACTCCATCTACTTTCTATATCTCTTTCAGTCTGGCTGTATTCTGCCCTGCTATAGGCCAAAGCAGCTTCTTTATTAACCATTGGTAATAAAACATATTCACAGCATACAGAGGGGGTTCTCACATCACAGGACTACCTGCCCAGAGGTGGTATTGCCATCAAGGGAGATGGGCTTCCACATTCAAATCAGTCATAATCAAGAAAACACCCCACATTGGGCATTGGTGGCACACACCTTTAATCCCAGTACATGGGAGGCAGAGGCAGGTGGATCTCTGTGAATTCGAGGCCAGCCTGGTCTACAGAGCGAGTTCCAGCACAGGCCCCAAAACTACAAAGAAACCCTATCTCGAAAAGCCAAAAAAAAAAAGAAGAAGAAGAAAAAAGAAAAAAAGAAAGAAAGAGAAAGAAACTGCCCCACAGATTTGCTACAGGCCAGTCTGATGGAGGCATTTTGACATTTTTCTCATTAAGATGACTGTGGTTTGTGTCATGATGACAATTAACCAGCAAGCATGGCTTTTTAAAAATTTTTAAAATTTTGTATGTGCAGCGGGGCAGTGGTGGCACATGCACCTTTATTTGCATAAAGTGTACAGCAGTGTTGTCTGCGGTGTGCGGCTTTCCTATGGGTAAGCCACGTACATGTAAAAGAGATCAGTGTTTCCTTGGAACGTCCGTCCTGGTTCTGAACCTCATCAATTGTGTTACTTTGTAATTCACGTCGTGGCGGCTGTGTTTCCGGTACACTGAACCTTGCTGCAGTTCCACTAGCCCTTTGCAGTCCTGTGCCTCACCGTTGGCATCCATTCCGTGCCCTAATGAGTGGGAGGAAGGGTCTTTTTTGTCCATGCTGAGGATCAAACCTAAGTCCTCATGTGTGCTAGGTACACACTGCCCTAAAGTCTTCATTCTACTTCACTTTCTTGCAGGGAGAGTGGGAATAAGGCTCAGAAGGCCAACCAAGGTCTGAGATCCAAATGAATTATGTAGAAGGCTTAACTAGTTTTTGGTTGTTGTTGTTGTTGTTGTTAGTTTGTATTTTGAGACAGGGTTTCTCTATGTAGCCCTGGCTGTCCTAGAACTCACTTAGTAGATCAAGCTGACCTTGAACTCGGAGATCCACCTGCCTCTGCCTCAAGAGTGCCCTAATTAAAGGTGTACGCTTCCATGCCCTGCTTTTGTTTATTGTTTGGAGACAAGGTCTTGTAATATAACCTAGGCTAGCCTGAAAATTGCTATGTAACCCAGGCTGATCCTGAACTCACTATTCAACCTCGCCAAGCTGGCCTGGAACTCATAGAGATCAACCTGCCTCATCCTCCCCAGGGATGGGATTATAGACATGCATACCAACACCCAGCAAGAGTATTTAACTATTACAGGCCACTGGCCTCCGAGAATTCCAGTTATCTTTGTCCTTAACAGGCTGTCTACAGAGGAGGACTCTGGAAAGGGGGTTTATTGTGACATGGCCTCCAGCTCCATGTGTTAGTGGCTGGGATGGAAGTAGGTAGGGGTCATGATGTCCTCACGGGTCCACAGACTCAGGGTCTCTTCTGCTCATGCCTAGGGGCCTATCACAGGACCTGGCCTGGTTATGTAGAACAGCTGAGCTCCCGTTTGTACTTACACACTGGCTCTTCTTTCACAGGACGATTTGGTCGCTATGGGTTATGTTAGGCAATGGGGTCGGAGGAGCAAGCTCGCTTGTCCTCACAGTGTGACATTGTCCTTGACCCTGCATGGCATCCACAGACACAGCCTCCCCTGATTACTCAAGCCAGGCGGGAGCAACCCCACTTCCTCGTCGGGAAGCCCTCTTCTTAATGGATTTATCCTCTCAGAGTCTTTGGATTGAGTGTTTTGATAGACTTGAAAAAATGGCAGTGTTTGATTATGTAGAATTTGCTAGGAGAATTCTTTCACACTTGTTTACTTCATTCCGTATGTGTGGGCGCGTGTGTGCCACAGAGCATACATGGAGGTCGGAGGACAACTTGTGGAAGTCACTGATCCCCTTTCAACATGTAGGGATCGAACTTGGGTCGTCAGGCTTGCCTACAAGTGCCCTTACCAACAGAACCATCTCAGAGGCCCAGCATCCTTTTATCGGGGACTTTACCTCATAACCAAAGCTTCGGTTTGGTTGTCACATGTCTTTTTAATGGTCATATTTGAAGTGGCTTTGGTTTGAGGCCCTGAGTTCCAGTCACAGTACTTGGGGGGTGGGGCACACACATGGTGGCACATGCGTGTAACTCTAGCACTCAGGAGTCTGAGGCAGGAGGATCATGATTTTGAGCCCAGTCTGGGCTGCTGTGTAACAAGCTACATACAGGCTAGCCTGGACTACATAACAAGACCTTGTCTCACAGAAACAAAGTTTTTGTACTTGCAGGAGCAGTGTTTCGTCTGGTTGCTGCATTTCCCAGTCTGTCTGGTTCTCTCAGGCCTGCCCAGCCTGCTGTGCCTTTCTGTAATGATGTACACTGATGACCAGTGGATACTATGGCACTTTTCCCAGCTGTGCCCTGCCCCCTCCGTGCCAGCCATGGTGAGGCACAGTTCCCATCAGACTTACTCATTTCTTAGGTTGCTAGGGCAGGGCAAGATCACAAACTTCCCTATCCCTGTTCCCCAAAAGTGTTCTTTGTGCCACACTAACCTGAAAGATCCTGTGACCATGGTCAGGGCTGAGTTCAAGTCCTGCCCTTGTTTCTCAGTTTTTCTCTCAGGGTCTGCTTCCTCCTGTAAAATGTCACCTACCTAGATACTGAGGTGTGGTGAGAGCATGATTGTGAAATGATATTTTTTAAAGACTTATGTGTCTGTGAGATTTTGTGTGTGTTTGTGTGTGTGTGTGTGTGTGTGTGTACGTACCTACATGTGGGGGCCAGAAGACGGTATTGCGTGTTCTTTGTTACTCCATCTCTTCTTTTCAGACAGGGTCTCTCCCTTTCCCTGGGGCTCAAATTTTCTTGGCTAGGTTGGAAGGCAGTCAGCCCCATCAATCTGCCTGTCTCTGCCAGCCCCACTTGGAAATGAGGTTACAGGCACAGCACACAGTTTCTTCTGTAGGTTCTGGGATCCAAAACCTACTCTGGTCCTCACGATTGTTCTGCCAGGGTTGTTTTTTTTTTTTTTTTTTTTTTTTTTTTGAGGGAAGGATGGGGTTCAAGGCAGGGTTTCTTTGTGCATCTCTGGCTGTCCTGGAACTAGCTCTTGTAGACCAGGCTAGCCTTGAACTCAGAGATCCGCCTGTCTCTGCCTCCTGAGTGCTGGAATTAAAGGCGAGCCACCACCACCGGCTCAGCCAGAGAGCTTACCTGCCAAGCCATCTTTCTAGCCCGTTTCTGTTGGTTGGATGGTTGATTGTTTACTGGAAAGTGTCTGTCAGGTTGGCCTCTAACTTACTGTGTAGTCAAGGGTGAACTTGAACTTCTGATCCTCCTGCAGGGTCCTATAACAGTGAGCTACCTACCCAGTCCTCCATTTTCTCTTTACATTTTTATTATATTTCTGTGTATACATGTGTATATGCGCATGCATGCATGCATGCATGTATTCATGCCGTGGCACATGCACACATATGTGCCCGTGTTCATGCTGTGGCACATGCATGTGGCAGTCAGAGGACAACTTATGGGAGTAGATTCTCTGCTCCTACCGTGTGGATTCTGTTCACACTCAGGCATCACACTTGACAGTGCTCAGCCATCTCACTGGCCCCTTGACTCCCTCTGGCAACAGCAGAGTCTCAGAGCTGGTGATGGTGTTGGGGACAGGATTCCTGACAGGAGAGGGGCTGAGAGGGCCTGGGCTGAGCCAGCAGTTTGTTGGTGAAATAGTAGAGAAGTACAGGGAAAAGAAGAAAAGGGAAGAGGACCCCTACCGTAGGAAGGAGGGAGCTGCCCCAGAAGAGCGTGGAGGATGAACGGATTGAAGGGGAGTCATTAGGCAGGGCTTAGTTAGAGCCACAGGCATCTTCATGGAGATCTCAGCAAGGCAGCAGAGCGAGTGAGATCGTTCCTCAAGTAAAGGTGCTTGCTGCCGAGCCTGACAGCCGAGTTTGATCCCCAGGACCCACAAGGTAGAGTGAGAGAATTGACTCCAGGCTGTGCCCTCTGGCACACCGCCACACCATCTTTAAAGGCGATGTACTGACATAGAGTACTTCGACACTTTCCTTCCTCTCAGGGTCCGTGTAACTTTCCTAGTCTGAGAGTTGGCCTAGGTCACTCGTACCTCCACCACCATATATTGACCGAGCCCTCTGCCCCTAGGTCGTCCATAGGGACCTCAAGCCCAGTAACATCCTGTATGTGGATGAGTCCGGGAACCCCGAGTGCCTGCGCATCTGTGACTTTGGCTTTGCCAAGCAGCTGCGGGCTGAGAACGGACTTCTCATGACGCCTTGCTACACAGCCAACTTTGTGGCACCTGAGGTAATTAGAGGCAACAGGAACACTTGTGCCTGCTTTCAAAGGCCCCGTGCTGTCTAGAACTGGTGTTCATGACCTTGACCCAAGGGAAGACCTATGGCTGGGACTGTTTCCTACCCTTCTGGGAACTGTTTGGTTGTTTCCAAATGCCCTGAGCCTGACTTACGTCCCTCACGTCCCCCCACCCCCGGCCAGGTGCTGAAACGTCAGGGCTATGATGAAGGCTGTGACATTTGGAGCCTGGGCGTTCTGCTGTACACCATGCTGGCAGGGTGAGTGTGAACTCTAGTCCCGTGGCCCTGCCTCTGGGAGCTGCCAACCTCCTAACCTACCCCCGGTGCCAGGATGGAGGCCAGAGGTTAAAGCTGGGTTCGGGGACTTCTCTAGATACACTCCATTTGCCAATGGGCCCAGCGACACCCCAGAGGAGATCCTCACCCGGATCGGCAGCGGGAAGTTTACCCTCAGTGGGGGAAACTGGAACACGGTCTCAGAGACAGCCAAGGTGAGTCTGGATGACGTCGCTAACCCTTCCATGTTCTGGACCCTAAGGGATGCAGAGAGCTGCCCAACCCATCCATCCCTATGGAAAGTCGATGCGGTAGGCATTACAGACCTGCACATCGAGGTTGGTCTCTTTGGCCAGACATGTGGGTACCTGCCTGTGCCCTGTGCACTGCCTTCCCAAACTCTCAGTATTAGGAAGTTTCTACCAAGAACCCCTGGCCAGCATCAGGCTGAACCTGTCACAAACAGCACTGCCTACACCAGTGCTGGAGGCAGGTACTGTCCCGTTTCTCAGAGGGACACTGAGGCTCGGAAAGTTTAGTGTCTGTCCGGGACACTCAAGCTCAGTAGAAGAGCTGAGTTTAGGGTTTTTAATTGTTAGAGGCTCTGTTGCTGTTTCAGGGTTGGGTTTGCTTCGGTCTCATTGTGTAATTTAGGCTATCCAGCGACCAGGTCTGTAGACTAGGCTGGCATTAAACTCACCCAGCTCTGTCCTGTTCTGCCTCCCCAGTATCGGGTTTAAAGGTGTGCCCCACCATCCCATGCCTTATTTTTATTTTTAATTCTATGTGTGTGTGTGGGAATGCACATATGAGTACAGGTGCCCGCAGAGGCCAGAAGGCACAGGGCCCCCTGGAGCTGGGTTTACATCTGTTGTGAGTCTCCTAGCGAGAGGGCTGGGAACTGAACTCCAGGCCTTGAGAGCGGTAAGCACTGAGTTTGTCTGTTTTGATTTTTACATTGAAGATGGTCTCTGCCAGGCCTTGCTGGCCTTCAAGCCTAGTAGCTGAGGTTGATTTTAAACTCTTGATCTCCCTGGCTCTGCCTCCCAGGTGCTGGGATTGAATACCTGGCATGCTTTTTCATGGATTTCCCTCTTTCTGTTCTTCATCGTCCTGGGGATGAAGCCCAGGTCCCCGTGCATGCCAGGCAAACTCCTAAAGCTCTCCGTTACGTTCTCACCCCAGGAACGGTCAAATTTGAACCTGTGTCTCCTTGATCCCCCCCCCCACTCGTCTTTAGGCAGGTTCCACCTTTTCACGTAACTTTGCCGAAAGGGAAAGAGGAGAAAGACGTCAACCACAGTGCCTACAGCAACAAAGATGGAAGAGAAAGCTTCCTGAGCTGCTGCTAGGGGAAGGCTTTGATTTCTCTGTGTGGCTTTGGAGCCTGTCCTGGAACTAGCTCTTGTAGACCAGGCTGGCCTCAAACTCACAGAGATCTGCCAGCCTCTGCCTCCCGAGTGCTGGAATTAAAAGGGTGCCCCACCACTGCCTGTTTGCAGGGGCTTTTGTAAGGGCGCAGGCCAGAGATGGCTGGACGCGATTGCCTTCCAGTCCCTTGGCGATCAGTGCGGCACTCGGTGGGGCACAGCTGTCTGCCTCCTCAGTGCCCCACCCATCACCTTCCTGCCCACTGTGTCTCCAGGACTTGGTATCTAAGATGCTGCATGTGGACCCCCACCAGCGCCTCACAGCCAAGCAGGTCCTGCAACACCCGTGGATCACCCAGAAAGACAAGCTTCCCCAGAGCCAGTTGTCCCACCAAGACCTGCAGCTTGTGAAGGTGGCCATGAGGGCCTGGGGCTGTTGAATGTGGGGGTGGGGGTGGGTCTCAGCCCAGGGAGGTATAGCAAGGACTTGAAGTGGCAGAGCCAGGCAGTTCTGTGTCTGTGCCCGAAACCAGATAAGCCAAAAGACATAGCCCTGCCCCCAAGGGAGTCCCAGACTTACATGCAATAGTGTCCTCATTGTATTCTGTGTCCCAAGGAAAACCAGTGGCCGTAAAGTGCCACCAAGGCTAGGGACAGTGGGCCGGGTGGTCTGTGGGACCCTGGAAGGGGCGGGCCACACCCTGGGGTTCATGTGTTTCGTCTCTCTGCCCTCCCTCATGGTTTGATCTCCTACCCTCTCTCCTAGGGAGCCATGGCAGCTACCTACTCTGCGCTCAATAGCACCAAACCCACTCCCCAGCTGAAGCCGATTGAGTCATCTATCCTGGCCCAGCGGCGGGTGAGGAAGCTGCCGTCCACCACCCTGTGAACCACACTGCAGACAAACTCCTTGGAGGCAGAGTCCTTCTCAGAGGGAACGGGCCTGAGTCGCAGGACCAAGTGAAGTGGAGTCCTAAGGGCCCGGGAAGTAGCCAGCCCAGATCACCCGAGTGACTGTGTGAAGTGCCTTCCTCCCTAGCATGGACTCCTCTGGGCTCAGGCTCCGTGTGTGAAATCCACACTGTACAACTGTACAAACTGTACAAACTGTTTTCTAAGGGAGAAAAAAAAATGACATCATCTACCATGGATTTTTACAAGATCCATTTGCCTTTCTGGTCATTGCAGTCCCAGGAGGAGACAGAATCACATAGAAACCGTGATCAGCTTTGGGGGTGTCCCCTAAGCACCCCTCTGTTGGCCGTGGAGCCATCTGCACACACCTCCAGGCAGCCCAGTGTTGCCTCTTAGAGTCGCCCACTGGCTAGTCAGCAGAAACTGGTCCCCACCTCTCCGTTCTGTTCTGGAGTTCTAGAACCACTTTCCGCGAGGACGCCGCCCTATCAGCTCCAGGCACCAGCATCCGCATTGCCCTTCCACGGTGGCCCCTGCAGTCGGGTCGGACAGCCCCGTGGAGAGGAGGCAGAGAGCACTTTTTGGGCAGACTTCCTCCTGTCTGCCTCTGGACAGAGTTCACAGGAGACCAGGGAGTGGGCCACGGGGGACGAGGGCTTTTTCATTTTCTCAGCTGGTAACTCAGGGTTCATCTGTCCAAGGCCTTTCTAATAAACTTAAATCCAGTCGAAGTATGTCTCTTCTCTTTCTCATATTCCAGGACTTTGGCGGTGACAGCAAACAGGCTAGGGACAGTTTAGCCCTCCTGCTTGGAGCACACGTCATTTGAGGAGCATGTGAGAACCCCTCTGGCTCCATCCATATGCTCCTCCCAGGGGGTGCTACCACAGTGTGGATAAACACAACGACACTAACATCCGTGACAGATGCTGACCCTAGTGGCTAGCCCTAAGATGTCTGTCCCTCCCTTTGTTCTGAGAGTCCGACCCCAGGGCCCCGTACACTTAACCCTGTCAGGCAAATCTCCGTTTTATAGATGGACGACCGGCTCAGAGAGGGGCTTGCATTTTCTCATCAGCCATGTCGAAAGCAAAGCCTTGGGTCTTACTCCATAGCAGGGCAGAGGGACAGGTAACCCTAGGTCACCTTACTGACAGGACCGCAGAGGACTGAGTGGGGCCCAGAGGGAGACCCCTGTAGAGGACGAGCCACCCAGAAGTTGAGTCCTGGAGGTTAAGGAGGACCAGTGAAGACAGGGAAGACCCAGAAAGGGACTCAGGGCTAGTTAGAGGCTGGAGCTAGGGAAACGGCTCAGTCGGTCCAGTGAGAAGGCTAGGACATGCCTCAGAACCTCGAGTTTGTCAGCCAAGGCTGGGCAGAGGTGGGCCAGACTTGAGCATCTGACATAGACTAGTGGTTCTCAACCTAGTACCTTGGCCCTTTAATACCGTTCCTCATGTTGTGCTGACCCCCAACCATAAAATTATTTGTGTTGCCACTTCATAACTGTAATCTAGCTACTGTTAGGAATTGTAAGTATCTGTGTTTCCCAGTGGTCACAGGTGACCTCTGTGAAAGGGTCATTCCACTCCAAGGGGTCGTGTGAGAAGCACTGATTTGGGGGCTAGGAATGTTGTTGAGAGGTACAGGTTAAGTTTAATTCCTGACACCATAAAAATAAGACATGATAACATGGTCTATCTCGCTCCCCAGCACCTTCCTACTATAGCCCAGGCTGGCCTCAAACACTGTATTTTGGTACGGGGCTGTAGATGAAGCCACCTGGAAATACTAAGCATGGACGCTATCCCTGAGCCATTTATACTTTTCTTTCCTTTTGTTTTGGTTATTGAAGACAGAGTTTCTCTGTATAGCACTGGCTGTCCTGGAACTTTCTCTGTAGACCAGGCTAGCCGTGAACACACAGAGATCTGCCTGCCTCTCCAGAGTGGTAAGATTAAAGATGTGTGTCACCACCTGCCAGCAATTTATACTTCATTATGGATACAGTGTTCTGCCTGCATGTACACCTAGACATCAGAAGAGGGCACCAGATTTCATTACAGATGTTGTGAGCCACCCTGTGGATGCTGTGAATTGAACTCAGGTCCTCTGGGAGAGCAGCCAGTGGTCTTAACCTCTGAGCCATCTCTCCAGCCCTACCATTTATACTTTTGAAAGTCACTGGCAGGAAGGGAAAAACAGCAGGTGGCTTGAACAGGCTGGTGGGAGGGCGGTGGGGAGGGAGTTAACAGCCAAGACATGCTTTGGAGGTAATTGTTGGAGAATAAAAAAGAGACTTAAGAATATCTCTTCAGAGCCAGTGAAATGCCCCTTCGGGTAAAAGTGCTTGCCATGCAAGTCTGACAATCTGCGATCAAGTTCCAGAAGCCACAGGAGAGAAACCCTGACCCCAGCAGGTTGTCCTGACCTTCACCTATGTGCTGTGCTCTGTGTACCCACATACATACGTATGTGCACATACATACGTCAGACACAATCAAATAATTAAAAATTCTGAGTTGGTTGTGTTAGCACCGACTTGTAACCACAAGCTTGAGAGGTGGAGGCTGGAGGGTCGGGACTTCAAGGTCTCGATTGGTTGGTTGGTTTCTGTTTTAGTCTCGCATAGCCCAGGATGAACCTGTTCTCAGCTATGTGGTACCTTCAAAGTCAGCGTGGGTTACCTGAGATGAAACACTATGAAAAAAGAAACTTCTAGGTTGGTATAGAAGGGAAGTTAGGGGTTGTAACATGACGGCCGGCTTGTTGAGGTATCTGTTCCCACCTGGTACCCCACAGCCAGCAAGTCCCAGAGAAAATCAACCACACAGAGATCTCTATAAGCTATAAAGCTGATTGGCCCATTTGGTCAGGCTACTTATTAGCTCTTATAACTTATTTTACCCCATTATCCTTATCTACATCGGCTCAGCACCTTTCTCAGCTGGGCAGTTTACATGCTGCCTCTTCGGTGGTCTGCGCAGGAGTGGCGGAGGGAGCTTGCTGTTTTCCTAGAATACTCCCAGTCTCTTTGCTCCACCCCTACTTCCTGTCTGGCTTTCCCGCCTATACTGCCTGCCTGGCCAATCAGCATTTTATTAAAATATGATTGACAGAATACAGACAATTCTCCCACACTATTTCCCTCTTTTTTTTTTTAAAGATTTATTTATTATGTATACAACATTCTGTCTCCATATATGCCCACATGCCGGAGGAGGACGCCAGGTCTTACTACAGATGGTTGTGAGCCACTATGTGGTTGCTGGGAATTGAACTCAGGACCTCTGGAAGAGCAGCCAGTGCTCTTAACCACTGAGCCATCTCTCCAGCCCCCCTCTTTTTTTTTTTTAAACAAAGGAAAATACCCATAGTTCATTTGTTGGGAATGTGGGCGTAGTATTTCAGGCTACTTCCTGCTGGTTGAGGGCGCTGATGATCTTATGGGGACCTAAAGAAAATTTAAAGTTATAATCAAGTCCTGACTGTGATTCTATAATCAAGTCCTGACTGTGATCAAGATCCTGTGAGTCTTGATCATCTCAGGCAGCAGTCTTGAATCTGTTCTAGATGTAGAACTCTGTCATCTGGGCCATCTGTTCCTATCAGAGATTTCTCAGGTGGTCTTCCTTTTTCGAACCTGATTTTTCTTAACTCAGAATGAATCCACAGCCTCTCATTTTCTGTGGAAACAAAAGCAAAATCTCTTCTCCAAAGTAACATACCTTTTGACTTCAATTTTGAAACCACGGTATTTTCAAAATGCCTATCTTGGGTTAGTTCAGCAGTATTTATAAACAAAAGTCTTTTAGCCGCTGTTGCTCCTTCCTCAACAATCAAACAATTCAAAGAGAGCATAATAACATACAGTATCAAGATTCTCCGTGTATTTTCCATCTTTATGTGACTTTATTTCAACCTCTATTTCTTTTATTTTTACTTTTAACTTTTGGCTTTTTGAGACAGGTTCTCTGTATACATCTTTGTCCTGGAATAACTCTGTAGACCAGGCTATCCTTGACCTCACAGAAATCTGCCTGTCTCTATCTCCCCAGTGCTGGGATTAAAGGCATGTGCTACCACACCTTGAACTCACAGAGATCTGTCTCTGCCTCCCAGGCATTGGGATTAAAGGCGTGTACTACCACACCTTTTTTGAGGTCACAGAGGTCAATCTACCTCTGCCTCCCTTGTGTTGGGATTAAAGGTGTGTACCACCACACCCAACTACTCCTTTTTTTTCTTTTTTACTTTTAAGAATTTTAACCTTCAGCCTGCATATATTTTTAACACATAGTAAACCATTTAGAGGTTTTCTTCCTCTTTGAATCTCTCTTTACTGTATATCTCTCTTTTTCTGACCACACGAGTCTTCAATGGGTAGGACTAAAGCCGTAGCTTTGACAGTTAGATCCAGCCCATTCCTTAGCTTTCCAGCCTCATGGCTGAGATACCAGCCAGAGCTGTGTTCACTGCCACAACTCTATGGCGTTTCAAGGTCCTTGCCAGCAAGCAAGCTGCAGCATTCTGCTCACAGACCACACTCAGTCGGACTGCCTGTCTGAAAGAGTCAGAGTTTGTCCTGGCAGGACGGCCCAGAAAGCTGGCATTTTAAAACAGCACAGTTTTTTTCCTGCTACGGCTGAAAACTGAAAAGCATGCGTTCAGCTTTTCATCAACACCATTTAAGTGTTTTGTGGCAGGACCTTTTAATGAGCTGCAGGGTTTTGCAGCTAAAGCTGAGTCAGGAAGCCTCTCTTAGATGAGAGCACTTGCTTGCCTCTAGCAAGCAGAGCAGACCCGAGAAATTGCTGCTACCAAGAAAATATGCTTTACTCTAGTCTTTCCCAAGCTTTCTCAGGCTTTCTGTGGATTCAGTTATCCACGTGGGCGCCATATGTAGCATGAAGGCCGGCTTGTTGGGGTTTCTATCCCACCCAGTACCCCACAGCCGGCAAGTCCCAGATAAAATCAACCACACAGAGATCTCTATAAGCTATAAAGCTGATTGGCCCATTTGGTCAGGCTACTTATTAGCTCTTATAACTTATTTTACCCCATTATCCTTATCTACGTCAGCCACATGGCTCAGTACCTTTCTCAGCTGGGCAGTTTACATGCTGCCTCTTCGGTGGTCTGCGCAGGAGTGGCGGAGGGAGCTTGCTGTTTTCCTAGAATACTCCCAGTCTCTTTGCTCCACCCCTACTTCCTGTCTGGCTTTCCAGCCTATACTGCCTGCCTGGCCAATTAGCGTTTTATTAAAATATGATTGACAGAATACAGACAATTTTCCCACACCAAGGGGTGACCAGGTTTAATGGGATTCTTGGAGTTTTGTGAGAGGTCCCCTCTACATATGCAAACAGACACGAAGTAAAAGTCCTCCTTAGAGGCTGGAGTTCTAGTGTGAAGGGCCAGGCCTGTAATCCTGGACCTAGGAAATGAGACAGAAGAATCAGGAATTCAGGGCTGGCCCCAGGCTCCATTAGCAAGGGTTTTTGTTTTGTTTTTGTTTTTGTTTTTCCAAGACAGGGTTTCTCTGTGTGACAGCCCTGGCTGTCCTGGACTCACAGTTTAGACAACTCAGCTTTGTAGAAGGCTGGCTTCAAACTCACAGAGATCCACCTGCCTCTGCCTCCCAAGAGTGCTGGGATTAAAGGCTGTGCCACCACCGCCTGGCAGGTGTTAAGGTTTCTATAGCTATAAAGAGACACTGAATTTCATTCAA